TTTTTAAGCTCGAAAAAATTAATAGCGATAGGCATATTTTAAAGATTTGTTACCAAATACGATCATAGTAAAAAACTAGTCTAATAGTTGATTTAATTAGAGACTATACATATCTTTGCACAAACACCAAACAACTCAGTTAGAATACGGCTTGGTTAAAAGTGGCTCGCTTTAAAAATAGCCCACCTCTGTTATAGCGAGCCGTTTTCCACGTTAAGCTAGCCGTTTGCATTACTGCTATCACGGGCTAAAAGTGGATCTATGAATCAGGCGCAGTAAACTCGTAACTATTATCAGAAACAAGGCCGAATAATTAGTTTATCGGTCGAGGCTTATTGGCCGAAGATGATTAACAACCAACATAAAATCTGAAGAGCCTGAACGCGTAAGGAAGAAAGAGCGAAGAACAAGAAACTGAAATCAGAATCAAGTCCTTGCAATATGGAATGTTGCAAGAGCGAAGCAAAGCCTTCTGATTTTCTTGTAATTATCATTGTAAGCCCCTTAATTTAAAATAGTTTTTCTTGATTCTTTAATGATGTAATATGTTTTAATCCCTAAGCCTCCTGAATCCTTTAAGACAGTAGAAGTTATAAAAACCTGTAATTTCTCTCTTGTAAAAGGTATCCTACAGGATTCCAATATTCCTTCTATAATACATTAAATAAATTCCTATTGATAAATCCTTTTAATAAATAAATTATTGTCAAATCACCAATGTCACGCCTCTGACGAGTTGCCTTATCATTTAAATTATTGAACATATGAATCACCCTATAACACTACACTCACATACCTGGGATTTTTGAATCATCAAAAATTCCGATTGAATTAATCCATCCAAAAAGATTATAATAAGCAAATTAAATAAATGAGCGAACTTTAAACTGATTGAATTAATGTTGTATATTGCAATAAAATAATTCATACTTTTTCAATAAAAATTTAATTACATTTAAACATTTATTTAATTGAAACAATACATTACTATATTTACAAAAAATTTAACATGTACAATGTCAATTAAAAAAATATAACATATATTCCGTGTAGAGTGTCCAGAATTCTGCTATATATAATTCTGCTCTCTCTAAAAATATTTTTTTGTATTGTATTTGGTTTTAAAAAATGATTAAAGTAGAGTGTCCAGAATTCTGCGGTGCATAATACTGCTCGCTCTAAAAATATTTTTTTGTATTGTATTTGGCTTTAAAAAATGATTAAAGTCACATTTATCTTATGGAGACAATACAAAAAGATATTTTTAAAGCGAGCAGAATTATGCACCGCAGAATTCTGAACACTCTAATTCCGTGCTATTACAGTAAATTCTGAGGTTGAAAACCTTTGGATTCTTAAATTTTAACCACATACTGTACAGAGAGTTGACCAGTATAGTGATTTTTAAGAGTGCCGCTATAAAAACACAACCATATTTATACACCTCAACGTATTTACACAGAATGGCTGAAGCCGAACAATTTGCCTTTCAAGCTGAGATATCTCAGCTTATGTCAATTATTATTAACACTTTCTACTCAAATAAAGAGTAAGTTTGGAGTGAAAAAAAACGCGGTTTAAATATTATTTTAAAATCAAGTGTATAATTTCTGCAACGTGTTATGACTTAAAGTGCAAGCGCGTTTGTTGATGTTTCTATTTCTTAATCTCATAATGTAGGATTTTCCTTCATGAATTAATATCTAATGCTTCAGATGCTTTGGATAAGATTCGATATGAATCACTTACTGATTCTTCAAAACTTAATAACGAACATGAATTTTATATCTGAATCATTCCTGATAAGGAAAATAACGTTCTTATATTACAGGATACTGGAATTGGCATGACCAAGGTATTGTTACACAAAACGATCAAAGATATTGTTCGAAAAATGATAGTTGATTATGTTAACAATAAATACATACTTAGGCCAAACTTGTGAATAATCTTGGTTCTATTGCTCGTTTAGGTACTAAGAATTTTATTGAAGCTTTGCAATCTAGTGCTGATATTTCTATGATTGGTCAGTTTGGTGTTGGTTTCTATTCTGCCTACTTGGTTGCGAACCGTGTTCAAGTGATCACAAAGCACAATGATGACAAACAGTATATTTGGAAATCGTCAGCCAGTAGATCATTCACCATTGCTCGTGATACAAATAATGAACCAATTGGCCGAGGCACACTTATTAAATTGTTTCTCAAAGAAGTTCAATTAGAATATCTTGAAGAACATAGGATTAGAGAGGTTGAAAGAAACACTCTGAATTCATTGGCCACCTGATCCAACTTATTGTTGAAAAGAAAGTTGAAAAAGATGAGGAAAATGATAAAGAGAAGATAAAGACAGTAGAAATCGAAGAGTTAAACAAAACTAAACCTATCTGGAAAAGAAATTCTGATGATATTAAACATGAAGAATATGCTATATTCTACAAGTCTCTAACTAATGATTGGGAGAAACAATTGGCCGTTAGGCATTTCTCTGTCGAAGGTCAACTAGAATTCAGAACAATTCTATTCGTACCATGTCATGCTCCATCCGATCTCTTTGAAACTAAGAAAAAACACGCAGCGTCTTTATTATAGACAATTGTGAAGATTTAATTCCTGAATATCTTAACTTCATCAAAGAAATAGTTAATTCAGAAGATCTGCCGCTTAACATTTCTCGAGAAATGCTTCAACAGAACAAGATTCTTAGAGTTATTCGTAAAAATATAGTGAAAAAATGTATAGAGCTGTTTTCTGAGATTGCTAAGGACAGGGGAAATTTCGCAAAATTCTATGAAGCATTTTCTAAAAACATTAAGCTTAGAATTCATGAAGATTCTCAGAATCGGTACAAATTAGCTGAATTCCTTCGTTATTATTCTACAAAATCTACCGATGAACTTACCTCTCTAAAAGATTACATAACGTGCATGCCAGAAAAACAAAAAGAAATTTACTACATTATAGGAGAAAATCGTTAGGCTGTTGAGAATTCACCATTTTTGGAGGTATTAAAAAAATGAGGGTATGAAGTCTTACTTATGACCGACCCCATCGATGAATACACTGTTTCGCAACTTAAAGAATACGATGGTAAAAAACTTGTATATATCACAAAAGAAGGGCTTGAGATTGATAAAGATAAGAAAGAAAAAAAACTGCGTAAAGAAGAAATTAGAAAATATGATTATTTGTGCAAGCAAATTAAAGAAATTCTTGGTGATGACGTTGAAAAGGCAAAAAAAAATTTTTTTTATTTAAATGTGATAACAAGTTTTTTATTTTAATTATTTTAAAATCTATTTTATTTTTTAGGTTCTTGTATCAAATCGTATTTCAGTGTCGCCATGCGTTCTTGTAACTGGACAATACGGTTGGTCTGCCAACTTTGAA